GACGACCTGCAGCGACCCTTGGAAGCCACTACAACCATCGACCGCCTGCCAGGACAAAAAATCCACCCAGGGAAGGTTGAGGGATGGGCCCTGGACCAGATCTCTCTGCCCAAGTTTCCCACCCGACACTCCACCTCAAGCCCCCTTGAGCTCCAGGGCCACATCAAACTCGCGGGCGGCTCTAAACGTTCAGGCTGAGCCGCCCCGAGGAGCCCCAAACCTCACGCGCATGGCCGACGCCCGAGCCCGGCGGGCTCGCCGGCGCCTGCCTCGCACCGGCCGCCCCGCCGTGGGAGCGGAGGCCAAAGCCGGACGTGCCAGGTCTTCAGCGGCCAGCGTCCGCACTGCCGGGGCCGACGCCGAGGCTCCCGGCACCAGAGCCAAAGCAGCCCACCAAAAGGCTCTCTTGGCCGCACTGGATCGTCAAGCCGTCGAGCGCAGGGACCATGTCCAGACCGCCTGTGGAGGAGGGCCAATCGGGCGCCTTGCCGCCAATCCTTCAGCAACTCTCGTGGACCTGGCCCGACCTCGGCACCTTCTGCGACGACTGGGGGACCCGCGTCAGCTGGGTGCACGAGACCCAAGGAACACTGCGGCACATGCTGCAAGCCTCACCAAGACGGGCCATCCTACGAAAAGCGAAACCCTCGCGCCATGACCTTGGGCACCTACCAAAGTGTCAAGCACGCGTAGACACGTTCGCCAGCGCGTGGCTGGCCCGCGCCAAGGGAGCCCCAGAGAGAGAGAGAGAGAGAGAAAAAAAAAAAAACACAAAAAAAAAAAAAAAAAAAAAAATAAAATGGCAACAAGGCCCCGTTTACAACTACCCCGCGGGTGGCGATCATACCCAACAGCGCTGCGCACGCGCCGACATATCAGCCGACCCAAGCCCGCCGCGAAGGCACTGCGACGCTGACGAAGAGACGCAGGAGAACACCTTCTGGAGACGCCCCCGCTGCCAATCCGAAAGACGCCCCCTCACCACTATGATCTCTGACGAGCAATGGAAGGCCCTCCCGCCGCGCGCGCGGCACTGCGGGCGCATCGACTAATCCAAGCCGAGCTATCCGGGGACCCGCTTCCCCCAACCCATCCCCCGACCGCCGCCAGAAGTGCCCCGATGGCGACACCTTCGCCACCTACACTGACCTCGACGGCAGCCAGTGGGCCCATGCCGGAGCCGACGGAGCTTGCTCGCACCAAATCATCCCACTGCTTGCGCGCGCCGTTCATGGCGTCTACTGCGGCAGTGGCCACCGCCTTAATCGCGCAGCAAGTGTCCACGGCCTTACCCAGAATGCACAGCGAGCAGAGACCTTAGCTATTTTCCACCTAGCCGCCACTGCCGAACGCCCCGTCCACGTATTCGTCGACAATCAAGCCGTCGTAGACGGCTTCCAGCGGATCTTAGACGGCCTTACCCCGCCGCCAGACGGGCCACGGGGCGATCTCTGGATTCGCATGCAACGCAATGTCCCGGCTAAACCTGGCATCTTCCGCGCGGAGAAGGTCGCGAGCCATCTTGGCGACGAGGGCGTCAACGAACACCGCATCAGCAACATGGCGGAAGAGGTCAGACGTCAAGCGGACCACCTCGCCACGGACGCGATCGCCCTCCACCGCCTCCCGCCCCACTTGTGCGAAACAGCGACGCCGCTTTGCGGCGGTGCTACACAGCACGGCGGTCGCCATCCATGACAAACTGCACCGCGCGCTACCGCTGCCCCACGGACGAGCAGGTTTCACAAACGCTCATATGAGCAAGCTCGAACCGAACCCTACGCTCACGGCGCCCCCCCCCCGCCCCCCGCGACCAACCGAGGATCCCCAGGGGACCTTGACGACCTCTGGGAGGAAGCTCGCCGCGTCTGGGAAACCCAGGACGACGACGAGGAGGACCCACTTGGCTTCGGGGAAGGCATAGATGATCTTGCAACCTTGCCCATGCAATTGTTTCTATAATCCGCCCCCCGCGCGCTCGGCCCCCAAGCACCCGCCTCCACGGGCGGCTCAGCGCCCGCCTGGGCCTGGGGCCGGTGCCCGAGCAGCAGCGCTTGTGGTCCCTGGCGGCCCCGGGCCGTAGACGGCCCGCAGAGCCGCGAACCCGAGGCGACACAACGCCGGCGACGGTCGCCCCGAGGCGCTGACCGAGGCCACGTCCCCTGACGGCGGGGAAGATCGCGCGCCGGGCCATGGGGGCGACCCTGGGGCACCGACCATAGTCGCGCCCAGGGGGGGGGGGCGTTCGATCCGCCACCTGATCACTGCAACGCCAATACCACGGCGACCCCGCCCACCACCACCACCACCACCTACCAATATGTCGAGCGCCAACTACGCCCTTCCTAAAGGTGAAAGCCTGGGCCAACAAACTGGAGCCGCCCCGCAGAAGGAACCGCGACACAGCTCTCCCCAGAGGTAGGGGTGACCACCACTTCTTCCACAAGCCAAACCAAGCCGACTCAGCGACCAGACAGGTCACGCCCCCCCCCCCCGTGAC